CTCAAGGGCTGAGTGTCTGGCTGGGAGATGGATCTCCAGTTCTTGGAGTGACACTGGACCTTTCCTCCCTATGCCATAGCCTGGTCTTCTCTCCTGCTCTGTAAGATGCCAGTTTGTTGTTTTTTTTTTTTCAGACTGCCATTTTTTAGCCTTCTATATCTTCACAGGCTCTGTTCCCACTTGAAGAAGAACGTATTTAAGGTCACCTTTGTACTTCCTGCTCGCTCCTTCCTTGAACTCCAGTTTACCCGTGCCATGGTGCCTGCTTTTCTCAGTGACAGCAACAGCAGAAAAGAGAGGTGTTGGGAATTTTGATGGACAGTGGGGTATGGTGGCCTCGGCTAAGGTTAGGAAGCCTGGCTTCTAGCATCTCTTTGCCTCTCACTGGCTGTGTAACACCTGGACCTCACATTCACTGGGGGCTGGCAACAATAACAGAGGTCATTTGCAAGCCAAAAATCATGCATTTCTGACTTAGTGTCTTTCTTTTTTCCTCCCTTGCTTCTCTGCCATAGGAGTCCCTGAGTCCCCCAGTGGCCTGAGGGCTGGGCAGACAGAACTAGGTGGAGTTCCTGACCCACCCTTCCTGGTCTGGTTGTTCCTTCTCTGGTCTGACGCGTGGGGCAGCCCCTTTGGGGCCAGGCTTCTACTTTAAAAGGTGTGGATTTCAGGGTGGGCATGTCACCGCCCCCAGCTTTGCCCAGCAAATTTCTGGTGCTAGTCTTTGCTTAGACACCAGGATCACCCTCAGGGGCATGTGGTCCCGGGATGCCTCTGCAGCCCTCATCCTGCCTGGGAGGCCTGGGAGTGCTTCGGAGCACTGGGAGTAACAGAGTGGTGCTGTATTTGTACAGTGCTTACATTATGTGAAGTATCCAGGCTATTGTATTGGGTCAGTTTTTCGTCACCACATTGTTGTGAAGAGAACAGAGCAGGGATTATTCTTCCTGAGGGGACGCTCTGGAAGCCCTGAACAGGAAGGGCTTGCCTAAGTGTGGAGTGGCAGACCCTGTGATCGCCTGCCCAGGGCTGTGCTGGTTTTTACAGCATCTGACCTGACAAGGGCCGTCCGGATTCTGCTGCAGACCTCCAGGGAGGGGAGCTCCAGTGCCCTGTCAGCCAGCCTCTCTGGTAAGACATTTCCTCCCTAGAGTAAGCCAGAATTCCTCTTCCCTGTCGTTTCCGCTGAAAGCAGTATTCCTGCCCTCTGCCTGACCCTTCCACAAGACAGTCCTCTCAAGACAGCCATCATCCTTCTCACGGAGGTGCCAGGATGCCAAGGCTCCACACTCACTGGGGGTCTAACCACTTAGCCACGTTAAGTGATAGACTTAACCAAATGTTGTGTGTGTTGTAACTGAATTTATTTATACCCTTTTTTCTTCCAAAAGGAATTGGCAGTGGCTAACCAAAAGTTCCATTTCACAGACAGTGCTCAGTGATTATCATGTTAATCTTTTTTCTTTGGTCTTGATGAGCTGAGGTTCTGGGTCTGCCTAGGGAGTGGGGATGTTGAGAGGAGGGGAGAGGGGAAAATAGATACATCATTGATTTCAAACTTTGCTTTTATTTCTGCTTATGGTTTCAAGCCAAGTCCTGTTCTAAGTTCAGAGCATGAATTCTTTCCAAATTATAAAAAAAATACAGAGTATCTTGGGCATAGTTTATGGGAGAGCAGTTTCCTGAAACAATTTTCACTTCCTTCTTATTTCTTCAGGCCTCTTTTGGAAGTAGTGGGGGTTGGCTGGGACCAGATCTTCCTATTCTTTCTATCCTCACAGAATCCAATCCCAGTTTCATCTCCAGAATTCAGTCACCTGCCTCCTTGTTTCTGCCCTCCTTCCCCCAAAACCCTTTCCATGAAACCTCAATCAAGAGCCTCTTTTCCCAGGTCAGTTTGGCACTTATCACCCTGGCTTCTTGCCTCTCAAACCAAATGTTTTCTCTTGCTTCCATCCAAGAATTCAGCTCAGCTTGATTCTCTAACCAGGTCCTTTCGTTTTGGGCCAGTCCTCTTACAGTCAGGGAATTTCTACTCTTAGATCTTCCTGGGAGCCTTGGAATTTAAACAGAGGACTGTAGCGATGGGGCGTGAGTTTTGGCACACAGTCACCTGTCCTGTTCCTCACTGAACAGCCTTAGATGGAGAAGGATTATTGGTAGACGTGGGAATCTGGCATCTTATGGGCTGGTTGTTTTGCCAGCCTTTCAGCATTCCATTATGTCCTTTGTCCCAGACAGTGACTTCAGCTCCTAATATCTTGGATATACAGTATTTCCCAACTTTTCACACTTTTAGGAAACTTTATGGTTTTTCCTTTTGCCTTGACATGGAGTATTAGTATTAGGCCTTCCATGAGGAAAAGTTTAGAGAGCCGAGGTACAGAAACATCGGCTGCTGGCTGGCACATGAGCATGAGCTCCCATCTCCTGTCACATTCCATATAGTCAGCTAAACTGGAGACCTTGGACACACACGCACACACCCACACACAGTCCAGGCTCACTGAGGTGTCAGCTCCAACTGCAGGTTTTCCCTGCTGCCCCACTGTGTGCCTGTCATTGGACACACAGTCATCTCAAAGAGCACTGTACTCAAGGCTGCATGAGGGGAGGGAATGAGTTTCCATCTTTGGAAGCAGTAATGCTTGGGTCTAAAACTCGGCCATGACCCTCATTAGATATTGTGACCTTCAGCAAGTTGGCACTTAACCTAAGCCTCAGACTCCTCATCTGTGGAATGGAATGATAACGGATACTCTGCAGAGCTGCTAGTAAAGTTAAAGGAGAGGCTGAGGAAGGGGTATGGCATGTGGAGGCCTCTGTGCAATTTTGTTTGAACTCCTCACCCCTATGTGGGGAACTTTAGGGCATGTCCTGCCTTTGTTTCTCAAGAACCCTGCCTATTTCCTAGTTTTACTTAGAAACAAGTTACGGAGGGAAGTCAGTCAGTAACCACACACCACAAAGTTCTGGCCTGCTCTGTGCTCTGGAGCACGGGAGGGAAGTGGATGGGGGAAGGTGCTGGTGCCAGAAGAGTGGTCCGATCACATGGTAGGGCTGGCCTTGGACTCACTCCTTCTCAGGAAAGTCGTCTGCATGAGCAGCCAGTTCTCAGCTCCCCACCCTCACTTCTTAGGGTCAGATATAGACATCTAGGCTTTTCCAGGGTCCTCCCCCATCCCCTTTCACGGGGCTACCACGAGCCTGATTGAGGCTTTTCCTCTTTCGGTCTGGTGGGTCTGCCCTGGGGAAAGTTCTGTCTCTGCTCTTTACTCAGAACTAACAGCACCCATTCCCCACCCGGAAAGGAATAAACAGACAAAGAAAAGAAAAAGAAAAAACTTGCTGTTTCTCGATTTTGGCTGCAGGTGTTTCCTCCCTGGCTTCCATTTTGGCGCCCTGGTTCCTGTTCTCGCATCCCTGTACCCTGCAGCCCCTCCATTGCCCCTGACTACTCCCTCCCGGAAGCTAGGGGTTGCGGGGAGCAGGCCACCAGACCCTTGGCCTTGGGTTTGGTGAACGCACTCCTGAGATCGGCTGCTAGGCTCTCCCCATCAACTCCAGGCGGTCCTGGGCTCGGGCTGTGTCTGGGGAGTCGCCAGCAGTAGTCTGAACTGGAGTGGGTTGAGTGTGGTTGCGCTGACGGATATCGACTCGTGGCGTTGCGATTGGGAGCAGCGCAGGGCCCAGTGGTAACAGCTGCCTCCACAGCATCTCCCGAAGTTGGGGGCCCCGGAAAAGTTGGGGTGTTCTTATGAGAAGTCGGGCGATGGGGCCAGGCGGGGAAGCCGGGGCCCCGGGC